AAGCGAAATTTATATGCCCCATAAGAACAGGAGCTGTCAGCCACATCAACATGCATGCAGTTTGTGCACGAAATCGTATACTACAAATCTGACAAAACCGCTATGCAAGGGCAGGAATCGAGAGACATAAAAATTAGTACCCGTGATTATCTCGAACAAGCCTCACAGAACCGCCACTAATTCTCAGCATTCTTAGGGGATTTTTAATTTCTTTTCTTTACCCACACTTCGTAGATATTTTCATTTTTCGGCCAGAAAAAACGGCAAGCCACCATTGTACAGAAGAAGGAATGGGAGGGTCTGTAAAGGTACAGCAGTTATTACTCCCGGCCGAGATCACCCACTCGGAAAAAGTGGTACCGCATTTTATCGAGTCAGCTTAATCCACTCCTGTGCAACGATAAAGTTGATAAAAAAAAGTTCCAATATGTTATAAACCGGCCAAGACATGTCCTACTCGGGGAAAAAAAAAACGGTACGCTATTCATATGACAATTAAAAAATCCAATTTGGTGAATAGGACCTATGTCGCTAAAAGCATTTAATACGACATCTGAATGGACGCTAATTTCCCTGATAATTCAGTTTCAAAATTACTACACTGGCATAGCGAAGAAAAAGAATGCAAATGCGAAAAAATCCGGGAAGCCGTTAAAAAAAGAGAAAACCTGGAAAGGTTTTAGTACTGACCGGTCGAGCCGCATTCGAATGCTGAAAAATAAAAGAATTTAAATTATAAGTGCCGGCGTATTCTTTTTATTTAACACAAGACATACAAGTTTACGAAAGTAAATTTTCATAAACCACCCCCAATTTCCCACTCCAAAGCCCTTAAACTTGAAATATTTATTTCAGTAATTTGACTCAGTTCTTCCGCTTAACTGATTCTTCCTAAAAAACAATGATTAAGTACTCTTCCTACACCAAAACTTTGAAAACATTAAATGTGAAAAGACAGCAGTTTTTAAAAATGCAAAAGGCCCTGTCTTACTTTATTCCATGAGGAAAAGAAGCAAGCAACCGTGTGATTCCCGGTTAAAGCTCTTCGACAAAAAAGCGCAGTGCTGGCAAAACTATCGATAGTTTTGGCTTCAAAAACTGATTGAAAAGCATAATAAATTAGGTTTCACTTACTAGGGTGCCCACAAATCCCAGTAACAAAGTAAAACTGGTAATGAGGTGCAACTTAAAGGGCCGCTTTCGTTGGCAGCAGTTGAGGAAAGTCAGTGGACAAGACCTCACCAGACGTTCTGGCTGCAAACTGGCTTAACCAGGATTTACCTGTGTGTACTGCTGGTACTGCGGATGGAAATTATGAATCGCATCCTGCATGATATCTTTCGGATTCATTGTTTCCTTCAACGAGCTGCTTATACTCTGTAGTGTAACCGGTCGTCCATCGGCACTGCTGTTCATCACTGAACACGCAATTTACTGCCTCAGACTGCATAAGTCTCAAATTTGAAATAAACTAAAGGTCGCACAAACAAGAGTCAATGACAAGTTTCAGGAGGGAAATGCAACCATTGAAACAAAGAGCAAAAGGCAGATCTACTGCGCAATCACAAACTGGACATCAGACAATATACGTATATATAAAAGGCAAATACAAACCTGTGCATGGGTCGATATACGCGCTGACGCTAAACGCATATCGCAATGCCACCGCTGCAAAAAACATTTCAACGCAAATGAAGAAATTCTGCCAAGCCGCTGCAACAGTACCGCGTGATATAATCTCATGACCTTCCGCATCATAGACTGGATCAATTGCCGATGTGGAGCCCAGGATGGCGAGCAAAAACCCTGAAATCATCACATTTAGAGAAGTGCCCATGCACAAAACCGGGACTTTTTTATAAGCTCATAGAAGCGGTCTTCAGCAGGTCACACCTGCTTGAATCTCTGGAAAACGTTC